GGGGCTTCGGGCACCTCGGCTCCCGCTCGCAGCGCTTTGTTCCGCGTTCCGAGCCGGTCATCCCCGCAGGGGCCGCCTCTGCCGCAGGGGGCCCCGGGCAAGAGATTGGGGAGGGGGGCGAGGAGATAGGCAGGAGGAGCTCATGTGCACCCGTTCCTCCGTCTGCTCCTTAGTGGGCCCCTGGTTTTGGCTGTTCGTCAGAGGGAAGACACCGTTGTAGATGAGCTTTTGGTTGGAGACAGTCCGACTGCTCTTACCTTCTTATTCGCTGCCTTCTTCCAAGCTCTTTGTGGGAAAAATCTTATTTAGATGCTGTTGTGGCTGGATTTGTCATAGTGTCAACCTTTATTATCCCTCACTTTGTGGACTTTTTTTTTTTCCTAGCTAATGAATGTACTTCATCATTCATGTTTCAGAATTGCTCCTTGTGGATGCTGTCTCTTCAAAATTATTTTCATTTATGAACTGTGAAAAAGGTTAAGTAGTAGCTGTGTATGCAGCAAACTGAAGTTATTTATGTGAGCGCATTTGTGCTGGCTTAATGCACTAGTATGGTTTAGTAGTTACAAGGAAACCATAGTAGCCTAGATGTTATGTGCTGGCTGCTGAAAAGTATGTTTTGGTGAGTTTGAGTCTTAATCTAGCAACCTGTGTCATCTTGGCCTTTTTAAAAAAAAAAAAAGTCAGATGGCAGAGTTCAGTCTGCAAGTTCATTGGGCCAGTGTTCAAATTTACGACTTTGCTCTCTTTCTTGCAAAACCTATTTGGGCGAAGGGGTTTTGTGCTCAAGTGCATGACTGTGAGAACTAAGCAACTGTAAATCTTATTTGCGATGCTTCAGAATTCAGTGAACTGCAAGGGTTGTATGATTTGGGGGGACGGAGGATGTTTTCATGGCTTGCTTGGAAGCGGTTTTTTGCATTAAGGGTTTTTGGAGGTTGTGGTGGATTAGGACGTCGTTTATTTTCTTCTGTGTGTTTTTGTTTGTTTGTTTGTTTAAATATATGACCCAGGACTAGACCAAAATCTCAGAAGGGATAGATTATAGCTACCCTGCTACAAATTTGCTTTTTGTTTAGATAAAGAAATAATAATTTTCAGAAAGGCTAAGACCCTTTCTACATCTGGGAGTTTGTTTTCAACATTTTCAAAATACAAGGTCACAAGCCCGTTGGACCAATTTAATAGAGAAGATGTTATCATCTTACAGTGTTGGAAAAGGATTGGCATACCGCAAGTATTTGCGTTGCCTTTTTTGCATGCAGATAACAAAACGGAAAGAGGGAGCAGTTGAGTTGGATATCTGCTTTTTTGTTTTCTGCTAGCTGTAATTGCATTGCAGTCTTGTGAAAGTTCTGGCTCCACAGGAATTACTTTTAGTGAACAGCTGGTGACCTGATTTGATTTTCTTCCTTTAAAGCACCTGGAAGACTCCAGTGAGAATTGGAGTGTGACAAGTTAGCAGAGGAAAGGAGTTGTTGTTTCCATTCCATGGATCCCTTGGGTGCCCCTTCCCAGTTTGTGGATGTTGACAGTCTGCCAGGCTGGGCTGATGCCTATGAGGCTAAGCAGCTGGACTTTCACCAAAATCCTGTTGAAAAAGCTCAACTTGATGTTAGGTCACCTTTTCCATACAGGAAAGACATCAATGCAAAAATAATCTTATGGTAAGTTCCATGTGGCTCTGGAGTGTTTTATCATCTCTTCTCCTCATTTTCTGCAGGATCTGATTGCCTGATGTAACGATGACTGCTGTAGAATAAAACCTTTAAACCCTCTTTTCTTGAATCAAACAGTATAGATCTGGGAAGAAAATAATCTCTTTGTTCACTGTAAATCTGCAAATGTGAGATTTTTGCTCCACCATAGGTTATAAATTGCATGTTTATAGGCATTCCATGCAGCAGACTGGAGCTGTACATCCTACTGTCATACTGTATGCTTAATATTACAACCTAATTGGGCTTTGATACAACTTTTTTTAATTTAAAAAAAATATACCGTCTACTAGCTTTTTTCTTCCTTTAGTGGCTTTATTTTGCCTTCACTTTTCTGGTTTGGATCAGTATTTATTTTTTTCATGTGGTTCTTGTGGCTTGCTTTGTACTCCACCCCCTGATTCTGTGTTCTGTCTTCATATTTTCCTACCAAAAATCTGTTGATAAAGTACAGTGTGCTAAGGTGAACTTACTCCATCAGTTTTTCTTTCCTGTAACTCAGATACTTGAACCTGCTCTCTTGATGAGTAACTCTGTTAATGTGAAGAGAGAAGGATTTCTCAGGGACACAGATTCAGGGATCAGCCTGAACCTCTTTCTGGTTAATACATGCAGGAAATGGGACTGTTCATGGATTTCCTGAACCTGATTATGTAAAGAAAGAGAAGTAAAAGGTTAAACATCTCTTATGACTTGGGCTTGGATATAATAAATGTGTGCAATTTCAATTTGAATCTCTCCCTATGCGTGGGAATCGTTATTTCCCTTCCTATGCTCTTTGATCCCAAAATCTCTAATGGCTGCTGCTGTGACAAAAAGCAGATCAAAGTTCTGCTAATCCATTGTCTCTTATGCATCTCCGCCTTGTGTATCTTCTGCATGTCTGATCCTTGAACAGCAGAATGAACGTGATCAAATTGCAGCATCACAATTTTGGAACAAAAGCAATGAAAACTTGTCTAGCTGCAGTGTCCCTCTCGATCTTCAGTGGTCTGGGGAAGAGCAATAGCAGTGAGGTGCCCTGGGTAGTATGTATGCAAACTGAAAAAAGCACGTTGAAAAAAATTGTTGAAGTTTTGAAAGTGGTATACCACAAGGATTGCCTGTCCTCTTATCTGCAAGAAAGAATAGATGGGTTTTTTTGGGAACATATTGCACTCCATCAGTTTAACATGCTACTTCAGATGCTCTGCCAGCTACACTGCCCTACAGACAACTACAACACTGCCTGTTCTACATACATCACTAAGTTACTGTTGAGGCTAGGAGTTTTTAAGGAAATGATGGGTTGCATGCAATCTTTCTTCATCAGTTAGAGGCAACGGATGATTCTGCATGGTGAGCATGTTGCAGTACGATATGTTATATGGGCACTGGATTACTGTTTAGGCTTTTCCTTTAACTTGGCATTTCCTTGCTTGTCAGCACTTGTTTGAGAATATCCTGCTTAATCTTACATTTAGCCTGCAATAAACTGTTTCCTTGTTTCCTCAGGAAAGGAAATGTAGCGTTACTGAACTGCACAGCCATAGTAAATACCAGTAATGAGTCTCTCACTGATAAGAATCCAGTATCTGAAAGTATATTCATGCATGCTGGGCCTGACCTGAGGGATGAACTGCAGAAGCTCAAAGGTAAATGGCTGGAGACATTTTTATCTTACTGAAATCTATTGTCCTTGCATAGTACTAAGCATCAGGATTTGGGCATAAACTAAAATCAAGGTATACCTCCCCCCCATGTCTGGTGTTAATGTGAAATAAATGGAGGAAACACATGCCAATCTAGTCTTTTCTCTTTTTGCCATTCAGGTTACAGATCATTGAAAATCTGTGGCAGATATTCGAGTTGCTGAGCCCTTACTTTATGATACAATAATTCCCATTGTTATCTGAAGCCACTTAGAGTAGTTATCAGAGTTTTTGCTTGAGGGACCAGTGTTGTACATCTTCAGATTTTGCTCTTACCCTGTTCAGTGTGTGTATATAGTGTGGAAGACATGAGCTGAGGTTCACTGTTGTAGAAATTAAGTGGGTTCTAACATACACTTTGTGTATCATCTGTCAGGCTATTAATATACACACACAGTCTTTCAGGAAGCTATGGCAATAATAGATGGAATGATAAAACACTGCATGTCTAAATAAAGTCTTAGTGACTACTTAAATTGTTTGGTTCATTTGCCTATTCTGCAAAACAAATTGCTTTCTAATAAAGTTACAAGACCATTCCTAATGGAAGGGTGTTCTGGAAATGGATGAAGTTTGCTTTACCTAGGTTCTTTATTAACAGAGTTAATGGCTGATAATGATATTTACAAATACTCAGCTTTATTCCCAGTCCCTGTTAGATGAAGAGTTTCCTTATTTTGTGTGCGAGGAACAAATTGTTTATAGTTATCCAAGGTCATACAGTTTTCAGCTAAAAATTCACATTTCTAATAACCGTGGTACTGAGCTGAATTTTGAGACCCAATTGATCCCTGATTAATACTGCTCCCTTACTTGGGTAGCAGTTGTATCTCCTTATCATGTAGTAACAAAACAGATAGAAGAGCTATAATAGTTCTAAGACAAACTCTCAGCAGTTTAAACTACAATAGAATAGATAGCGTCTGTTTTTATAGAATCATGTTCTGCTGATTCAGCTTGCTTTTTGTGAGTAACCTGGAAATAAAACAGGAGGAAGAGTAACCATTTCCTAGGAGATGGAAAAGTCATGCTTTGGGTGGAAACAACTGTTAAAATACGGCAGATCTTATACAGTAGTTAGGACCCTGCTATGTACACCAGAACTCTTCTAAAAGAAACTTGGGTTTCTTATGTGCACTGTGAGGTGAGAAGAGAGGGACATTTCGAAGAGTCCTTAAAATTTGAGCTCTGTCAGCTCTGTAGGGAGTTTTTTGTAAAAGTTGGGCTTAGCTTCTTAAATTCTGTTTTGCCATGCTCAGTTATATATGGTTTCGTATCCTTCAGCCCTGTGATGACACTGATGTCTTTTCTCTAATGCATTCTGCAGGTTCACAACTCCCTATACATGACAGTTTTTCTTTTTAATTTGGTGACAAGAGCTTTTCAGAAATCAGTTCTTCTGTGACACTCTACTGGCCTGTTGCATGGGGGAGGAAAGAGAGGCTGGGTTACAACTTTGGCTTTTGTGCACCCTTAGTGTGTTTGTCATGGTAGCAGAAGTGGAAGGGAGCTTAGTTAAGAAATTGGTTTGATTCTTTTGTCACCTCTGCCTCCTTTTTGTGCTCTTTTCCATTTAACCTTGAACTCTTTTCATAGGACAATCTTCTTTGGGGAAAAAGTCAAAATGTATGGTTGTTGCTCTAAAGCTGTAAAATAGGCACGGTGGCAATTTTCAGTTCTCTCCTGCTTTGTTCCTGCTACTTGGTATACATTCATATTTCATAGACTCCAATAAAAAAGTAATGACCTTAAAGCATGTGACATGCTGACCTTTCAAAGGCCTTTGCTTTCTTTAAGGCTAAGCTAACTTCTGCCTTCCTGGGAACAGCGTGCAGTTTTGATTAACACGGAAATACTACAGCCAAGGTTCTAGGCTTGTAAACGAAGTGCTATTGATATATGCTTGCCTATCAAAACATACTTGTTGCAGTCTAATAAAGACCTTCTGTAACAGCAACGTATAGTAGTCTTCCAACTCCAGTGAGAGTTTTCTCTGCTGCACAGTTTATATGGAGGATTCAGAGAAAGCTGTTCCAGTGTTTGAAATCTCATGGGATAAAAAAAAAAAATTAAGATCTTTGCTTCCAGCTTTGCCACAGACCTTGACCTTATGTAGCTCACTCTACTAGCTCACCTCACCCTATATTTTCAAATAGGAATAATACTTGCTGCTTATTTTAGTTTTATAAATTTTGTAGAGATCTGCAGGCAGAAGGCATTGGGAAGTACTAAGTGTGATGTAAGTGTAGTTAGAGATTACTGATGCCACATCTGGTTGTCTGAATTTGTTAGTTTCTCCACAGAATTCACAACTATACCTCAGTCAAACTTGCTTCATTCTTTTTCACAAGGCAGTTTTTTTCCTACAGGCCTTTGCTTGTTCTTTTGGTGTTGCCTGACTTGGATGGACTGTGGAGGAAGAATAGTAACTTGATAGCTGATACATTGTTTCAGTATTATCTTCTACTTTTTCCATATTGTGCTTATTTAGTTGCTCTCTTGACCTGAGGTTTCTTAGAGGACGTGCAGTAATTCAGAAGAGTATGCTTAGTTTTAGTATACTGTTGTATTCCTTCTGATTAACCATGACAAAACAAGGTGGAGGTCTATAGAAGCTAATGACGTGATTTATTGGATCAAAAATTTTACAAGATGTTGGCTTGAAGGCAACATGTTGTTGCCCTTAAAAAGACATGCTTAAAGTTTTGAGTAAGAGAGATTCTTGACCTGGAATGTGTCTCGTTATGAAATGTACTTTCACGCATGCTGATAGCCTACCTGAGCACCACAAGGAAAAGAGTGGAGTGGGAGAGGTGAATGCTCCTGTTCAGTAGGCAGCTCCATGATTGACTTAAGCCAAGCTACTGTAGTGCTGCTGCCAGAAGGGTGGTCGCAGCCGCTTGTTCGTGTCTCCGGCCTTTTCGTGGCCCGAGAAGATCAGGTTGAAAGCTAATCCAGTGAAAATAGTAGTTTTCAGCCAGATCAGAAAGCTGAAATGCAGCTGTACAAGCAGAAGGAAGAAGGTAGAAAATGCTTGTCTTTGAGGGTAGAGAAAGACTGGAAGTACTTCTTCAGCTGTCCAGAACTGAAGCAGATTAGAGTTGGATGAAGAAGGGGAGAGTTAGCAGAACTTTCTTCCAAGTGCTGAAGAAAAAAGAGGCTTCAAACACAGTAGCTGTTCTGGATTTTTTGCTATCAGAAATGTATTAACAAACTGAAGGGAATAGAGGGGTCTATGTGTGTCACCAAGCATTTTGACAAACTGATTTCCCTTGCAAAAAAAACCCTATAGGAGCTAAGTATGTGTAACTTGCAGGGCATAGCCAAAAAGCACTCAAAACCAAAAAGAGGTACAGATGTAAAGTCTGCTACCATGCAGTAAGTGATCCTAGAGTATATAACTGGAAGGTACCGGGAATGGCACAACTAAACGTGTTGTTTGAACTTCTGTGCCTTCAGACTAGTCACCTAGTCTGCCAGGAAAGCTATGATCCTACTCCTGACTTGTGGATATAAAGAAGGCTACCTTGTTCTGGGAGCATAGATGAAACGAGTGTTTGATCTATTCATTTTTAATAGCTTTGCCAACAGCTGGTGGGTTTGATTAAGGAGATTTATAGTCCTTTTATCCAAAAAGCAATCTCCCCAAACCAAGTTGTTAAATTCAGAGGGACTTTTTATTGCTGGTTGTATAGCGTATTTGTGCATCAGTTCTCTGCACGTTGTTAAATCATTTCTCCTTTTAGTTTTGTATGTAGCATAGTAAGCACTGCAACATTTCCTGCAATTTCTGGTTTGTCCTTACATGCATAATTTTAAAATTTAGGGGAATGAGCACAGGTCTCACCTCCTCAACCTAACTAGTACCTGTTATGAGATAGAATGCTATCCTTAATATTTAATGTCTTAAAGCACAGACTTCTATATATGAAGTGGAGTTGTCTGACTCTGGAGGAAGTCAAGGGCTTGAATATTTCCAGCTTTCTTAGCATGACATTGGCATTTATCCTTGTGTTTATTTCTTTCAGGGTGCAGGACAGGCGAGGCTAAACTCACCAAAGGATTTAATTTGGCTGCACGTTTCATCATTCACACAGTGGGACCCAAATACAAAAGCCGGTATCGCACAGCAGCTGAGAGTTCTCTGTACAGCTGTTACCGCAATGTTCTGCAGCTCGCAAAGTAAGCACACAACTTATGTGAGGGTTTGCCATCCATGGCACATCTGTTCCAGATACTCGGGTCTGCACAGAGGCCAAATGGCTGTGAATATCTTCCCATGTATATGGGATTTGGTTAAGGACATAAGAATGTTAGTGGCTTATAGTGGTACATATCATGCCTTTTGTTATCTGTTTTGTGGCGTAGATAAAATGTGCAGAGAGATCTGATCTGGTTCAAGTCCTAAAACAGTGTAGCTAGAGCTATGCAGCATTCAGTGACTTTGGGGAGAGGCAGCATTGATAGTTGTGTTGGGCTCCGTGCTGCCAAATGCTTTAAATAATCTTGCTCAAGCAGCAACTTCATGTGTCTCTGCAGCCACGTGGACATATCCACAGGCAGATCTGACTGATGTATCAGTTCATATGTCTGGCCTCTCTGCCTGCATATAACAGCCACTTAAAATTCCGAGTTAAGGTTCAAGGTTATTTCTAAATCTACAGTTGCTGCAGATGGGTTTGTAGTTTCTCCTCTTTCATCTGTGGTATTTTCTACTTCCTCTTAGCTAACAGGTTTTTTGATCTTTCTGCTTTCTATTTTTCTGTGTTCTTTTCTATACTCTGTTCTTCTCCTGTGATGGCTGCTGTAATGGTAGCAGGCACAAATAATACCTGCACAAGAGCAATAAACTTAAAAATTTCTTAGGGTTGGGAAGATAATTCTTGCAAGTCTGGACTGTGTGTTTACAGTGCAATAGTATGTGTTTCATAATCAAGATTACAGCAAAGTTTCTAGTATATGCCAGTTTTGTTCTGCCTCAGAAGTAACAAGCAAAGTCAGGTCTGGATCGAAACAAGTTAAAAAATTCTAATAAATCTGCTTACTGAATTCTGAGTGCCTTTCAGTCAATCTGTTCTCTAGAGTAACTTTTGACACTTGTGAAACTGTCTACCAACTCTGAGCTTGCTCAAACTCCTCTGATGACTGTTGGCAACACCTCTGCTTTACTTTTCTAAAAATGTGTGTGTCTGTTTGGTACTTAGCATCTTAATGATCTTAAAGTATGTATCACTTCAGGCCAGCGATTGTCTAATCATACCTAGGATTGAGTAAGTCACCTTGTCTGTGTCCACAAAACAAGTGATAGGTGAGGTGGAGGAACAGACTAATGTTTGCAGTAAGGAATACCTTCTTTTCCCCTACTTCTCCTCGCTGTCAATCCTATACAGGAAGGAAAGTACTTTAGAAAGGATTGCAGGGAGCTTGAGGGGAGAACTTCTTCATTCAGGATATGATAAATTGCAGGAACAACTTAGCTGAGGTGGAAGGAGAAATCTGAGAACAAACATGAGGAAACAGTGTGGAATCATTAATGGTTCCCCCTTCCTCTGCTTAATGATGGTATGTATGCATCGTGCCAAGAAAGAATGCTTCTGCATGAACCTGAAAGAGGATTGCTGCTGCATAGAGGCAGGAAAAAAAGTACTGGTGTTATCTACTGTACTGTCAGACATTTGTTCTCATTTGACCGTCCGTTAATTTGGTTTTCTTTTTCTGGATTTCAGGGAACAGGCAATGTGCTCTGTAGGATTTTGCGTCATTAACTCCCTGAAAAGATGCTATCCCTTGGAGGATGCAACCCATATAGCACTGCGTAAGTTTGTTGGAAAGTGTTGTAAACTGGATGGCAGTATTCAGCAAATCACATACCACTGACAAACTGCTGTTGATAGGGAGAAACCTTTATTTTAGGAGGCTGTAGTTTGTTAGAGGCCGTAAAAAGACAAAGCCTTCCATGGTTGATCAGGAAATGGAGGATAAAAACAAATGATCCTTTCTTTGTTGAGAGGTTATCAGTAAAGATCCATGGGAATCTGTGCTGGAACTTGCAGTCTTCAATAAATTAATTAATAACCTGGAAAAGATGCTGAACAGTGAAGTGAGAGAGTTTGCTGGTAATTGAAAATTGTTCATAATAGCAAAGATGTGGCCTTACTGTTAAATAGCTCTAGACCTCAAGCAACAGACTGAATTTTATCTGCCATTTTAGTGTCATCAGCATATCCAAACATAAAGTGATAGTCTTCCCCCACTGACCCACCCATATATGCTTCTGCCTTTGCATGCAAAATGATGGGCTAATCCTAGGAAGCCAAATCTTGAGATTGTAATAGTTCCATGAAAACAAGTTCACTGGAGTTCAAAACAGCAAGCTGAGTAAGACACAACAAAACAAAGAATGTTATGCTATAAATCTGTGTTTTGTCCACCCTTTAAAGCTGCACATTCAAAGGAATATAGCAGAACTAGAAGCTGAGGAGGTCAACAACGATAGGGAAAGGCAAGAAATATATAAGTAAGATTAAGTCTTTTTCAGACTGGAATACACTGAACTTGAAGGGAGTATGATAGATGTCTATAAACTCATGAGTGGCATGGAAATGGTGAGTAGGAATCAGCTGTTCACTGTCTCCCAAAATAAGAACCTTCAAAGAATGCTAGTATGAATCAGGTTCAGAACAAGCGAGGGGAAATGGTTCTTATGCTTATGCTTTTTTTTTATGGAACTTCTTACCAAAATGCATTGCAGATGCTAAAAGTTTTCAAATGAGTTTGGGTTCAAGAGGAAACTGTATTAGAGAAAAAAATTAAGGCTACTAAAAACCAATTAGAAAATTTCTAGGCTGACAGTACTTAAAGAATAGAAAAGTGCTTAGAGAAGAATATTACATACTTGCCTGGGTCTTTGTTTTCCCTTTTCTCTTTTGACTTTTTCATTTCTGTTGGCCTGCTCCCATCTGCTTTCCACCACCACCACCCAGTCCCTGCACCTTCCTGCATGGTACTCCTGCACAATAGGAAAGTTACTGCGAGTGGAAGGAGAGGGTTTTCCTCTTGCTATGCAAGCTGACTGGAGAAATCTTTCTCGCCCTCTGTTTTAGCAGAGGTGCTGATGCTGAAGAAACAGATTTGTCGGTTGTTTTCTCTGCTACCTGCCTGTTACGTGAGCATATGTTTTCAGATGTCTCAGGTTCAGAAAACTGTTTGCTGTGGAACTGCACAACTGCATTTTTCCTGTAATGTTGTGGGTCAACCCAATTATACATGAATTCCTGTACAGGAAATATTTGAGAATAGCTCCTTTTATTTCCTCTGCTCGCTCTTGAACTCGTGCTAATGTATTCTCTGTAGGGTAGACTTCTTTCCTTTATTGCTCTTTTCTGTTGTCTCTGTAGGGCTATATGCTACTTGATAAAATACTGCTAGACCAACCTACTTGTTTGGACACTTTCTCTTGGCAGTCTGACAGGAAAGCACTTGAAAATTCTGACATGTCAAGATTATTGCAGCTCAGGGACCTGTGTACAAGGATATGTCTGACTGGGAGCTTGGTTACAAAACATTTTTTTCCCTTCAGCTGCAAATGCTTAGGAACTTCACTGTGTCCCTGGATTATGCTAAAGCTTTGCGAGAGTCCAAAAAAAAGTGATAGAGGAAATAAATTCTATCATGATTTACCAATAAAATTTTTATGTGCCTTTTTGGCATAGCTGACCCCAGAGGTTTTGTGTGGCTGACACTCTCTTGTACCAGCTTCTGCTGTGGCTTCCTTATCTTGCTTTCCTGATAACTTAGGGCACAGTAACTTGTTCTAGGAATACCTGGTTTTGGCTGTTTGCACAAGACTCTGTAAAGGAAGAATTTGTCTTGATTTTGCAGGGCCATAGAATCATATTCCACAGACTGAGGAATACCTAATAAGCTAAGATCAAACAGACACTTTTTCTCTTTTTGTATCCATCTCTAAAGTGAGAAGCAGAAGAGAGTGAAGCTGGAACTTCCAGCATGCCAAGCAACTCATTTGGTGTGTTAAACTACCACTTAGTCTACACTTGCATACAGCCTGTGGAGTTCTGTTGTATGAGGAGAGAGATGTGTCTATTCTGCACTCTGACTTCCTAACTTGTAGTCATGTGTGTAAATGTCTTCTCCCGTTTTGCTAACTATATTTAATCTTCTTCCTTGCAGGCACAGTTAGAAGGTTCTTGGAGATTCATGGAGACACACTGGAGAAGGTGGTGTTTGCAGTCTCTGAGCTTGAGGAGGTATCTCCTTGATGTTTATCCCACGAAAATTCATGGGCATGTTTGATCTTCTCTGCAGCAGTATTAACTTGTGCATTGCAGAGCTGAATTTGGATTTCCCCTTCAAATCACATAGACTTTTGGTCTAACAGCATCCTTCTGTTTCCTAGTAGCATAGTGTCTTTCCCAGTACTGTTTATGCTCTTAGCAGTCACTATGGACATAGTCAGAATCTTTCCACTTCTGTGTTCCTGAGCCATAAACAGGAGCTGATACTAGAGGTTATAGCATGCACTTGTGCTGGATGGGATCTGCCAGCCAGAAGGGAAATTCCTCCTTAAGCAATGCTGCTTCTCTTGTGCTAGTTTAGCATGCCCACAGATCACCTACAAACATCTTAAACTTGGCTGCTGGCTTGTTGAAATAACAAGCTTCACATTTAATGATCTGTGTTCAGACAAATGCTAGCAGTTTGAACATTGACTTCTCTTGTATATCAGACTTGCTAATGGCTGTTCCTGGGCAGAACATCTGCTGTGTTCAGGTTCTGTGGCATCCAGATGAGGAAAAGAACTAACGTGCTGGGGTTCTAAAACTGCTAATCAGTTGGAGAGAACACATGAAGTATTACAGTGTTCAGTAGAGACTTTTCACTATTTTCCTCTATGTGGGGAGAGTTTCTCTTGGCTGGTTGTTGGGGTTTTTTTTTTCCCCCTGGTGAGATCACTAAAGGTGATCTGTGTAGTGGTGTGTTTTAATGTAAGCAGCCTTTGCTGAAGTCTATCATCCATGCGTATTGTAACTTCATTACAAAGCTAAAGTATCTGCAATCTACCTGAATTCATGCAGGTTAAAGCAGCGTCCTCTCAGGGCCATTTTTCAGTATGGCAAGAAAAAAAAAAAAAATATAACCTTTATCGAGGTTATCTGCCTTTATTGCCAGGTAGCAGCCCAAAATAAGCCATTGAAGGGCGTGGTGCTTTGACCCCAAACCTCTGAGAACATCGCTGCTACAAGGACAGGTGTTACTTAACTGAAGAGCAAGGATGCATGATAGACCTTCACACATTTTTCTTATTTGTAGGCCACTTACCAGAAGTTGCTGCCTCTGTATTTTCCAAGATCATTGGAAGAAGAGATACAATCCTTGCCTTACCTCCCTGCAGATATTGGCAATGCAGAAGGAGAGCCTGTAGTACCAGAGCGGCAGATCAGGATTACTGAAAAGCCGGGTGTTCCAGACGGTAAGTTCTTAACTTTGGACTAAGTATCTCTGTGTGAAAGTAGATGGAAAACAAGGCAGGCTTCCTACCTCACCTCACCTAAGGCAGGATATAATGAAGACAGTTGTCAAGCTGCCTCATTCTTCATGTGTTCCACATCAGTAACTTCTGCTTTCTGCCTCATCGTGTAGAGCAGTATGGTTAGAGGATGTGGTAGAGCTGTTGTTCTGTCTTTTTTTTTTCTTGCGGGGGGGGAGGGAGGTGGGGAAGTTCATTCCCTCTGCAAATTTTTTTTTCTCAAGGTAATTAGCAGCTTTGCAGGGCTTTTTTTCAGAATCTTGTGCAACCCCTAACTTAAAAAGTCATTATTCTTAATGGTCTATTAGCAAAATGTTGTTTATATATTAGCAAATCTTGTCTCAAGATTCTGTTCGTACAGCATGTGCCTGAAAATAGTAGATGCTCAATGAAAACTAGGAGAAAGTCCCTAAAAAATAGAGGAACTAGATCAACCCAGAGATTGCTATTTGGGAAATGGCTGTGAAAGCTCAGTGAAAAAAGTCTGTTTGTAATATTAAGTAGTGCTATGAAAATTTTACACTTCAGGCAAAGCCTTAAACCTCAAAAGCAGATAACTTGGAGTGGATTTCAAAGGTTTTCTGTTTTCACATGGCCAGTTTGGATGAGGCTGAATTTGCAATGAGGATACAGACAACTTAATTTTCCTGTTCACAGTTGGGTATCTGATGTACCTACTCCTGCTGATCAGATTCCAATCTTTTTTTTTCCCCCTGTCCAAACTGCTGATTAGAGTGGTATTTGCAGCTGTGGCTTGTTTTGCATGTGTAGGAGCCAATGGGTATAGCACAATCCCACACTTGTGTCCCATTGCTACTGTAGTACATCACACTAAAACTGGAAAACTCAATTCCCATCCAGATTGCCCAGAGGAGTGGTGCTAGAAGCCTCAGCAATATTCCTTGATGACATCAAGTTCAGTGGAGCATTCTGGTATTGTCACCAGCAAGCACACCCATGCTCTTGTAATTCATCACACAGTCGTGTTGTAAACAATACTCAAAATAGTCAAACTCAGGTTACCCCTAGCTCTATAGCATCTGTTCAAGCCGTGTCAATGATAGAAAAAGTGAGCCCTTTCTACAGTACAGCTTCTAAACTGAATAAAGCTGCAGCATCTGTCCTTCTGCATACTTATTTTTCCCCCTATGACAAGTAGGACAGCTGTAAAGCCCAAGTCTTTCTCTCCAGACTTTATTTTCTGAGAGAGTTAACCATTATCTCTTTGTTACAAGCTGATGACTAGAACTTGCCCAGTTAGTTTCCAGGCAAACCAACATTTAGGGGAGCGTGTAGTTGTCAATCACATGCTATAATCTATCAGTGGTATTGGTGAGCTATCTGAGCCCCATCATGGTACGTTGTGGGGTTTTGTGTTAGTTTGTAGCATGCTGACTGGGTTGGCTCACTGAAATATATAGCAGTTTATCAGTGGCGTTGCTGTCCTGTACACAGCTTGAACATTTTACACTACTTTTGTTTCTACTGCAGATGCTTCAGATGAAGAGGGTCTGGAGGCAGATTTGTCTTTCATTGGTTCCCATGCTTTTGCCCGCATGGAGGGAGACGTTGATAAACAGAGGCGCCTCATCCTTCAGGGACAGTTGTCAGAGGCAGCACTGCAAAAACAGCATCAGAGGAAGTGAGAATTTCCTTGTCTGCGTGAATGCTTTGCATTAGTTAGCTGTTCAGAGGACCAACCCTTATGATGATTTTATTATCTATAAAGCCTAATCTTCTGGCAAGGAAATACAGATAAAGCTTGGTGGTAGCCAAGAGGTGGTAGCCTCTTTGGCCTGAAGGGAGAAGGGAAGGGGCAATAGGAGGAAAAGGGAAGCTAGTGATGAACCCACTAGCGTACCCAGGGCACCTGACCAGCTGCCTTATCTCTATGCCACAAGATGTCACTGTTTTGTCACCGCTTTTTGTAGTGGGGTTATTTGCATCAATGCTGCCCACTTGCTTCTGAGGCTCTGGGCAGATAGCAAAACATTTTTCATTTATCTTTCAAAACAGAAAAATAAATAAATGAATGCTGAGGCTTTTTTCCTTATCCTCCTCCCCCTCTACTAACCATAATGTGCATGATCACTTTCTTAGAAGCCAGTTCTATGCTGGAGTCCACTTGAGGCATGATGCTTGGCTTGTTTTGTTAGATGAGGCACTAAGTTGTTCATCATTCAAACGAGAAAGAAAATCCATATGTGACACTGGTTGCTGCATAGTCATAGTCAACTTCTAGACTTTTAAAGAAATTATCTTTATTTTTCCTAATTATTTTTAAACACTGAGGTATTTAAATGGAAAAAACTCTGAGGTCTTTTCAGCCCAAATGCAGTGCCACTATAGTTACTAGTTGCTGCATATTCATTGCCCTAGTGAAAATCATTAGGTATGTAACTAAGACACTCAAATCTCTCTTCCCCCCCCCCACTTTGACCTATAGAGCAACTATCAAGTTGTTAGAAAACCACAACATTAGAGAGAGGGCTCAGTCAGAAATGGCTTGTTTTGACCTTCCCTTCCCATATACCTCTTCAGGCTTCTAATGCTAATCCAAAGGGGGATTAGATCTGACCAGATGTTTTTAACTTTCTAGTTATAATCGCTGGCTGTGTCAGGCAAGAGCTGAAGACCTTTCCGATATTGCTTCTCTTAAAGCCTTGTACCAGACAGGTAAGTTCAGGGTACTGATGACTGATGTATATTGTCTTAAAGTAAAAATACAAAATGTAATTTCTTTGGCACTGAGTACAGAATAAGTCATGTTACTAAGCTAGAAGCCTGGCCAAGAACTAGGCAACATCTCTGCAGTAAAGCAGGAATTCTCTCTTGATTGGCTTTGAAAGACTGTGTGGTAAACTCCCAAACTGCTCCGCTTTAACAATTTGAGAATACATGCATATCCTGAATTATCTGTAACTTTAGATGTAAATCAGTACTGTTAGATTAAGTCAATGCATAAGGTGCTCTGTATGACATAATTTGTAACAAAGAAATGAATGTTGCTTTCAGATGATAAGTGTAGAGAATAAGCAGTTACCAAAGCAACTTTTAACACAGCTTTCCTGAACAAAATGGCTTGCTTTATTTCCCTCAGGTTAGGTACGTGTTGCTCTCCTCTGTAGGCGTCTCCTAGTACTAATGGCTGAGTACCACAGGCAGCACATCTTGCAACCTTGAGTTCAGTGGATGGGGAGATTAGGGAGAGATTCAATGACCCAATGGAGAGTTCAGTGGAAGAAAATAGCTGTGAGGTCCTTGTAGCCTAGGAAGCAGAGGTGGGGAACCTGTACTCTTCAGTTCACTTCTACTCTTTAGGTAGCATCATGCTCAGACGTAAAAACTTGCCGTAGTCCCAGTGGCTTATTGCTGCTTTACACCACGACAGGGAGAAACAAGCAAGTAGTCAGGCTCTCAAAAGAATAGCTGTGTTCCTGCAGAGAAGGTCTGTTCAGCACTTCGGCTGATATCTTTGGCCTCCTGAAAATCCAGATACTTACCTTGATCTTTGTGCAAATACCAAAATTGTGAGATACCTTCTACTCAGTACGTGCAATTTTAAATTCTTTTGTTTGCCTTAGACAAGGCTCTGTGGGCTGTAGAAGGTCCATAAGGTGTGCTCTGGGAATCTGTGCATTAGAGTTCAGAGCTAGGCTTCTAGGAAGAAGTCATCTTTGGTGGTAGAACTGCAAGTGAAGGTTTGGGGTTTTGTTTGTTTGATTTTTTTTTAAATAAAAACCATGTTATTACCTGACATTTAGATAAACGTGACATACACAGGCAACATAAAATTACAGTCTTTAAGACTTAAGTTTCTTAGATGTGATGCACCTGGTTTTGGATCAGAATAGCTACTGGTATAGTGAGAACAGTGACTCTAAGTGTATTTCCTCTGTTGTTAAGATGGAAACCAGATGCATTGCAAAAATTCTGAGCTGTGGCTGGTTCTCCCTCGTTTGAAAGGGACCAACTCCAAAACCTGGCACAACTGAGACAAGTTTAGAGACATATTTTTCTTTCCTTTGTAGGTGTAGATAACTGTGGCCGCACAGTGATGGTGGTGGTTGGAAGGAATATCCCTGTAACATTGATAGACATGGAAAAGGTAAGGCTTTGTAAAACTCAAGTTGTCTAGGTTCATTGTGGTTTAGCCCCAGCTGGCAACTAAGTACCACATGGCTACTTGCTCACTCCTTAACCCCTTCCTGGTAGGATGGGAAGGAGATTCAGAAGAAGAATGTAAAACTCATCGATTGGGATAAGGACAGTTTACTGGGACCACAAAGGAAGAGGAAAATTACAACAACAGTACTAATAAAAGAATATACAAAGTGGGTGATACACAATGCAATTTGCTCACCACCTGGAACCTGATGCCCAGCCTGTCCCTGAGCAGTAATCCCTCTTCCCTGGCCAGCCCTCCCCCTTATAGACTGAGCATGATGCCATATGGTATGGAATACCCCTTTGGCTAGTGTGGGTCAGCTGTCCTGGCTGTGTCCCCTCCCAGCTTCTTGTGAAAATTAACTCTATCCCAGCCAAAAACCAGGACAAGGCTGAATACGAATGTTCAGAATGTAAGAGTGATTATAAGGGTAATTCAGTGTTAATAATAGAAACATTATCTGTAGAAGACTTAAGAGATTAAATAGAAACTATTTTTGTAGGCAGATAAAAATGTATTCCTTTGTAAAGCTTTCTGTGTGTTACAGTGGCTTTTTTTCAAGGAGGAACTGGACTATTTTTTAGAAAAACAGGCCTAACATGGACTCCTTTTTCTTCTCAAGAAGAGACTTGTCCTGCTTCTATAGCTGCCAAGACACGAAGAGTGAAATGTAATGAGTCAAATTAGTTTTTCATGGAAACAGCAAGAATTTATCTCCATATGTGAGGTCATCTAGACACAAAAAAGGCATCTAAGTTATCACAGTCAAGTTGCAGACTTGGAATGTTCATCTTGCTTTTGTAGCTGAAACCACCCAACCTCATGATTTCTGATTTGTCAGTGAATTAAAAGAAGCATATTAAGATGTAATACAACCGTGAAAGAGTTCTTTGCAAATATAAATTTAATTTCTTTGTCTCAGGCTCTTCTGTATTTCATCCACGTCATGGATCATATTGCAGCCAAGGAATATGTCCTGGTGTACTTCCATACGCTCACAAATGATTACAATCAACTAGACTCTAATTTCTTGAAGAAACTCTATGATGTTGTTGATGCCAAGTGAGTGCCAATAGGAAAAGAACCCCTTCTGGTCATCTTCTGTCCTATGCAAACATTTGTCATCCCCTGTATCTGGTTTCCCATTTATTTGTTAGAGAGTTTTGCTGGGACAAAGACCTAAATAAACAACAAAGGCAAGAGGAAGGAAGATATGGTTTCTTTCCTTCTCAAAACCATCTGTTAAACCAGGAAGTTCTGTCATCTAATCTCCCTTCTGGAGCAGTTAGAGAGGCATATTGTCTGTCTCTATCCAGAGGTGGAGCTTCTGGAGCCTGGCTTTGTTAAAAGTATGTTGGTAGTTGTGAGGAAAGAGGCTCAGGTAACCTTGGCAGTCATAATTTGTCCATAACTTTCACTGTCCACATAAAAGACTGCAGGCTATAATGTCTTTACCTGAAAAATAATCATTCTGCTTCCCCCTCCCCCTTTACATTAACTTATATTAGATCTAACTTTGTAAAATTACATCACGGGCACTTACGCGAAGTGATCTGTGTTTTTACGTATGTTGGGTTGTGTAGGTGACCCTAATTAGAAATCACTTAAAGAATTTTTTCTTTCTCTAAACCAGGTACAAGAGGAACTTGAAGGCACTGTATTTTGTCCACCCAACATTTCGTTCAAAGGTGAGGTAAATAGTAAAAAAGAAAAATATATTTCAGGTGTTGGTGGAGTAGCATGTAAGACTGTAGTATGAGGAACATGGAGGTATATGGAAAACTTCCAAAATCAGGCAGTGTCTTCTGGCTCCACGGTCAGAACTTGAAATTCATCCCCATCTTTGGTCGAGCTGTAGTCTTCCAACCTCAGTGGAAGCTGAACTCCAATGCAGTGCAGCAACCTGCACCCTGTTTTGTGTGTGCTGTGAACAGAGAGAGGCGGAAGCTTTGGATCCTCTTTCTTTCAAAGAGAAACATTTTGTCCTTTTTCCTGCTGTCTTGTTGGCAGGGTGACAAACCATGACCAAAAACTCTGGGAATTCTTTCTTCTGTAGTTCGTTTCCTGGATGTTTCACCTTCTGTTTCCCCACAAGAGGTATTGCATGTGTGCTACATATCACTTAAGAGCTGCCCTGGTAAGGGCAGAGGCTGATGTGTCAAGCAGCACTGAGATTAGTCAGGATTACAGAGTGTGGAGTAGCAAAGAAGGATGGGGAGAATGTCTTTGTGATGGAGTGCAGAAAAATTCTGTTAATCTTTCAGGAGATGAAAAACTGAACTCATGAAGCAGTAAGATATTATCCTTGGCTATGATCTGTGTGGGGCAACAGAAGATGGAGCTCGCTCCCTTCTGTACTTCATGTGTACTACTCATATTGCAGCAGTATGAGTACTTCGGATGAACTAAGCGTCAGCAGCAGCCTTTCCTAAAATATTTGTTTGTCCTCTTAAAACAGTTAGAAATGTGATCCTCCATGTTCACATCAGATTAACCTCTGTGTTTATTCTGCTTTTTGCTGATGTTGATCAAATTTGAGAAGATTATACGCCTGGAAAAAATCATCTGTTTGCACATGTTCAGCAAGAATTTCTTTGCTATATTTCCAGGGTGTCCTTTCTCTGCATGTGCACATCTGGGACACCATGAGACTTAGAGCTTCCTTGTTTTTATGTAGATGAGACTAAGGCTTCCCAACAGCATACCTTCCAGTTTCTGTCAGGATCTTAATTATTCCCACAAGGTACAGATCTGAGGTCTGAGTGCTTGAATTAAAACTTCCAGCCCTGATGCTCCTCAAAATGCAGGAGCTGGCATAGAACATTACTTAGGTCAGAAAGGCGAGTGGGAAAGTTGAAGCTAGGAAGTACTAGTGTTTTAGATTCTCAGCAGCACTTTGTCTCCCCCCTCTCTTCCTGTACATTTCTATTTGGTTGAGAAATGTTTGGGGTTTTTTTGTTGGAGGATGAGAACTCGTGTTCACTAGCCTATTGCCGTGTTCTCTGTCCCTTTGGGAACTGCAGTGGGACTTGACAGATCTGTGGGGCATGCAGATAGTTGGTGGGAAGCAGGGAGAGTTCTCTAACTTGCTGGAAATGGAATTGGTTTGTATCCTATTCTAGCAGCACAGCTGGAGGCAAAAAAGGATATGTGTGTCCATGTCTTTCTGCCAAGCCTGTTCCCTAACTGAAAGACAAGTGGGATTGCTGCTGGCTATCGCAGAGACCATCAGCTTATGAAACACAATGGGGAATATGCAGCAGAAAGTCATGGTGGTGGAGGTGGCTGCTAAGAGGGAATAATTTCGGGTTTTTTTCTCCCCTCCTCTTTTGGCTATTTCAGGGCTGTTGTCCCCATGGAAGATTGCTAGCTCGGAAGCCTCAACTATCTTCAAAAATGTTTGGCATATTCATCTTCCTATTTGGAGCACTGACTTCCTCCCCTAGAAGTAAAGGAAAATACCCCATGACCGAAATGCAGGAGGAAGGCTTGTGTATTCATGCAGCTTCCCAAACATCACCCTTGTACATATATCTCATTCTTATATCTCTGATATAAATTGTCCATTTTACAGCAGTATTTAATCCTAGCACAGTGGATGGCTGCCATCTGTTAGAGTTGCTTTGCTTATTTCTGGGCTAAAAGGAATCAAGAGGCTTTTCGTCATGTCTCTTGGAATCTCATGTGGCCCTAGAAAACAAGCAGTGTTCTCAATGTACTTTATGGTGCCAACCATGATTCTTTCTTCAGTTTCTAGGTACGAAACTGTTCTGAATTATGTATATTCTGAGGATAATTGCCCGTCTAGAATATATGGGGTTTGGTATGCAGGGAGGAAGGTTCAACACAGAAGCAGGGTGTATCACTGCACAATCTGTTACCGTACACTGATCCTGCCTTATTTGCGCTTTGATGTGAGCGTTCGTGTGATCTGTGAAGAACTTGATTCTCATGTGCTGTTGAAAGGTAACCGTTCTTGTGATGAAATCACAGCGTAGGCAACAGCGGTTTTTTAGACCAGCAGCAACTCTTGCTGCGTGAACACTTCACCACCAGGCCTTAGATTGTGATACCCTTGAAGTGCTATCACAAGTTCCTTTGTACTCTTGCATGTAAATGTACTTCTGCTTGTTATTGCTATAGCTGCTGATATATAAGTAAAGGTCTCTTTGAGTGAATCCTCTCAGCTCCCCTCTTCCGAGAGCTCTCCAAATGAAGCTTTTTAGAGCTTGTATTCTGAGTTGAAGCATCAGTGGATGGATCTGACACAATCTCACCCAGAGAAATTTTGTTTTTGTATATTTGGTAACTTGGTTGTGAATCAAGAATGTTTCAAAACTGAAACATACCTGAATACTCAAATTAGGTATTCATAATCATCATAGTCTTTGTATTTATCATGAACAATTTTTGTCTTGTTTTTCTGTAGGAGTCATAAAAGCAGTTTCTGGACATCAGGTGCCAATATAAAGGTTGTTGCAAATCATTTACGGCTTTTTTTACACAACATCTTTCCAATTGTAATAAAATTTCCCAGATTTTACTAAGTTTCTCTATGGGGTATGACCCAATTAAGAGATCGGTGACACACTTTATCTGTGTTTTGCTCTTTTTATGAGGGAAGGATATCTGATACTTTAACGCTCTGGTTTTCTAGCTTGGCGGTGACTTTGATAGACTCTTATTCAAATTCAGAACTGCAGGACAAGAAAAATGAAGGAAAACTTCAGCAGATTACTAGATTTTGCTTGACTACTCTGGTATAACTTACTCTGCTTTCAGTGCATTAACAGGGATTTGGTTTAAATTACAACTTCTATGTTCTCTTACCAATAAGGAAATAGCTGCTCTGGTATTACTGTTTCTATAACCTGTGATTATTGAGAATGGAGATAATAGAAAAATTCTCTAGGAACATTTCTGCCCCTCTTCTTTTTTTTCTGTATTACTGGGTAAGATGTGTCAAACTGCGATGGCTTGTGTACTGAGGGGATCACTTTTCCTGATAACAGTTTTTGTGATGGCTGCAAAAATATTCTGTTAGGCTTTTATACATTAAACATCCATAGCTATTTTGTTTAATGATTGTCACTCATAATAGGCCTTGGAATGCATGCTTCTTTGGTACAGGATTGAGAACGTATTTTTCACTCAAACTGTCATCCAGTGTCACTCATAAGAGGTCTTGTTAGAAAAATATAGTAAATAATGGATACCAGTAATAATCTGTCTCCTTGCTTTCTGCTAACAAATCCCTAATTCTGCCCTTAAAATAATGAACTGATCTTAAATGTCCTGTCCTGTTCTTTATCTCCTTTTCTCTTTTTCATTGTTCCTTTCTCATGAAAATATGCTGTTCTGAGGAGGCAGCATAGTTATTCCAGGACAGATTTTAGGCATCAACTTTGTCTTCCAATGTTGTGTTCACGGAGATCATTTTTATTGACCTGATGTTTCAGTTTATTTGAAACTCCCACTTTCCTTGAGGCTTTTCATGTGACAGAATGGTCAAGGTTGGAAGGGACCTCTAGAGGTCATCTAGTCCAGCCCCCCTGCTCAAGCAGGGTCAGCAAGAGCTGGTTGCCCAGGACCGTGTGAGTGGTCCCTAATATGAGCATTTGTGACCTGTAGAACAGGTTTTTTTCTTTCCCTTCAGCCTGCCAGGAAAAGACTAGATAAGAAATAAACAAAAAGTAATATACTGCTTAGTTTTGGAGAACGTGGGTTGAAACGTAAAAGCTTGTGCAGTCAATCTAAAAAGGAATATTTAATAACTTGTAGAAGCATCAATGGCATCTTACTGGCATTTGCAAAACAATAATTCCTTATCCTGTTTATATCCAAAAGAGACAGAGGTGTGAATACTTAAAGTAAAATCTTGTAGAATAAGTCGATAAGGCTTATTCTCATTAGAATAAGTTGATAAGGCTTTGATAAGAAATGCGGTAAAACAGCCAGCCAGCCTAAAGCAGAGATGAGATTTCAATAGGACCTTTGAACAGCTGAAAGTCTCTCTCTTTGCCTTGAACTGCCTTTTCTGTGAAAGCTTGAAGGCAAACAGTTGAAAATGCTTCTATCGGATATAGAGTCAAATAGATCATATTCTGAGCTGGCTAAACTGGAAGTGAAAATGTGCCACAATACAGGTGGCTTTTTGAAGACAACTAACAGAACAGCTGTCAACTCTTGTACAGTAGAACAGGATCTTAAACTGACACTTGGGGAGGAGTGAGCATGGAGTCAGAAAATGCAAACTTGGAAGTGCTCAAGACAGTGTTTGCTAACAGTCAGTGGCGTGTACTTCCTGACCTTGCTGTGTTATTGCCATGATAGTAGTGTTTCAAGTTTAACTCAAGCCTGTTGATCTATGGAGTATTATGTTGACCTTGAAGGTTTTGAAGCAGCACCATCTTAATTTTTTTGTTTGGTTTTTTATTTTCAGGTCTCGGCATGGTTTTTCACAACCTTTACAGTCTCAGGGCTAAAGGACAAAATCCACTATGTGGAAAGCCTTCAGCAGTTATTCACAGCCATACCCCCAGAACAGATTGATCTCCCCCCTTTCGTCCTCGAGTATGATGCCAGGGTAAGTGATCGCATGTGGCAAGCATGAGTCTTTGCTCCTAAGCATAGTTCTTGTGCTTCTCCCATTCTGCTCTGCAAGAGCTTTGAAGGGGCTGACTTCCACATCTTAAGAATGAGGAGAAGAAAGGGTTCCTGGCAAGTCTAGTTGTTCTTCTGTGAGTAACAATTTTCTTAAATTATTTCTTTCTCTCCAAGTAGAGGGCTTGGCTAAGCAGCAGACTCTTTTCCCAATAGAGCAGTCTCCTATGTGCATAAAAGGCAGACTGCCTTTCTTCAGCCAAGAACTGTAACATAACACACTAAGAGCCTGTGGACAAGATAAAATTCATGTTATATACCTGCTGTATACCTCACACTGACTGCAAAAATAAATACTATCTGTGTTTCATCTTCCCTGTCCCATGTTATCAACAAGCATGCAGCAAGGTGGGGTGGGGGAAGCAGTGAGGAAAAATGGAAGTGTATGAGGGTGCCTTGCCTTTGTGTTGGTCCCTCCTCCTCCTCCTCTTCCCGTCTTCATCCCAGGTCTCTAACCTGGAATGAATATGGTTTGCATTGGCCAAATCCTTCCGAAGAGGATGTGCTGTAATAGCCAGAGCTGTGCGTCTGCGTAAGCCACTTTGTCTTGAGTGACTGGCTATGTTAGCATTTGTGGCTTCCTTGCATCACAGCTTTGGCTTAATGGCAAAATTGTAACTTGCACTTTTTCCTAAAAATAGAGGCAAACTCAAGGCCTATTTTTGCCTGTGTACCAGCACAATCCTCTCCTGGGTGAATTGCAGCAGTCACCGTACTCATGGAAGACAAAGCCAGGACTACCTGTTTATTTCTGCCTCTGTGTAATCATCCATTGCACCAAGGTGTATTGGAGAAGACTTTTGTTCAACTGCTCATTCTGTTCTCATTTCAGGAAAATGGGCCTTACTATTCTTCTTATCCTCCGTCCCCTGACTTGTGATCTGCAGTCCTGCGATGCTGCTGGTTTCCCATGGATCCAATGACCTGATGCCTGCCAAAACCTGTGCATTTGCCCATGTACAGAACTCAGAGAGAGGGTTTTCCTCCCCCAGCTCTGGTATTTTTTTACTGATAAGATATTTTCAAGCACTCAAGCAATCAGAGAACTTTATGCCACTGTGAACTGTACAACTATTTCAAATATATTTATCCAATGGAAAAGTTGATTTATATTTATCCAATGGAAAAGTTGATTTAAAGGTTACTAAGTGCATTTTATTTTGGTTGGTTTTCTTGTTGGTTTTTTTGTTTGGTTGGTTTGGTTTTGGTTTTTTTTTGTTTTTTTTTTTTGGAAACTGTTGGGCCCTTACCTGAACAGACTTTCTCTTTTCTGGGAAATCCATCAAAAGCACTTGATCATGTTTTTAACTTTTACCATTTTCCAGCTCCGTTTGCAATACCCATTTCTGACTGGCCTGTACAAATATTGTGCAGTACTAGCCTGACAGATTGCTCATCATATGGTCTCTGTGTTTCACATCTGATTACTTTCCCTTTCCGTTAGTGCTGATTAGTTTGGTCTTGACCCAGCAAAAGTATCTGGAATTGGGAATGCCGTGTCTGCAGGCTGAACAAAACACTACAGCCAAGCCAAGGTTACTGCAAGACTTAGTACCATAAATGCTAGGTGAGCTAGGAGCCGTGGTAAAGTCCCTGTCAATTTTCATTGGATGATGTGACATGTCAGGATGCCACTACCCTCCCAGTAAGAATAAAATTGAAAAGCATTTGCAGTTTCTTTGCTCTAACTATAGTTGTTTATGTTCTCCTTTGACATGGCCAGCTGTGTTTGCATGATAAATGAATGCCATGTGCCTGAAGGGGAGGGGGCAATGGTGACTCCAACCCCAACCTCTGGTGACAGAGATTGTTTCTTAGAGATATCAGTGTCCCTTTTATTTCCTGTTACACTGACACTTAGTGATTTTGACAGACATGATACATGTGATAGAGTCACAGGATACGTATGGAACAGGAGGTGAAAAGTTTTTCAGCCTACCAATGGAAAGCTAAAAGAGAAGGGAGAAGGCTCCCTTGGAAAACATCATCAGGGATGGCAGTCCCGAATACAGAAGGATGGAAACCCTGGTAGGAAGAATGTCACAACAGTACTGAATATGAAAATGATGGCATGGTTTTCATGTTTTCATTCTAGCTGCTTTCCTGTCCTGACTTGTATCTGTTACTCTTTCTTTACCAAACTTCAGTTTTCCCTGTTCTGCCACTTCTGCAATTACTACCTTTTTTTAAGCATAAGCAAAAGTCATCGTGAGACATCTTAGAAGGTGGTTATTCACACCCATTGAGTCGATAGGAAATAGGTATCTCCCTCCTGTTTAAAGATACTGTAAATTGTTGGGACAAACAGGGAAAAAAAATCCTCCCTTGGTCATCTAATTGCATGTCACAATTTGTGTTTGCAGTCTGAGAGTTAGGGCTTGTGTAAGTTAGGAGTGCTGTGAAAGATGAGCCGTACTGAGTTTCCTTTCTTACCTTGGCCTCCTGGCTTAATGTTGGGTTTATATTCCACATATCCTCAGCATGTTGGTATGTCAGTTACAGATTAAGATAATCACTTGGCTGGGGTTTAAGAGTCATGTATATACAACATATAAAAAGCAAGTGGTTTTGCTTTTTAAGTGTCCCCCAGGGTCCTTGTGTGATTCCATTATCAGATCCAAGGTGCTTCTAAAGCTGGAAACTGTAGCACAATGGAAAACCACCTTGGTGTTAATACTTGGGAGTGTTGTACCTTATGGTCAGTTCATATGTGATTCTTTCAGCACTTTTCTGGTGGTTTTCGAGAAGAAAATAGCAGCAGTCTATACAGACCAGCTACCACGTGTCCCTACCTCCTCTTTTCACCTAGCTGTTTACAGCTGCCCTCGTCTAGTGACATTTATAGCCAGCAATGAATTTTCCATGCTTCTCTAACGATTTGTATAGCTTTCCACCCCCATTAACCATCTGCTGTTTTTCACACCCATGGCATTTTCAGTGGGGCTGTTGCAGAATACCCAGTGTCCACTTAATAGGCAGATTAAAGGTGATTTGGAGCATATTGTGAAAACTGAACTCTCAGCTTCACAGCTTTTAGATGGTTTCTGTTTCTTTAGCTCACAGATGGCTCAGAGTCATAAAACCCAAACAGTTCTTCTTAGGACTCGGTCTGCACGTTTTTCAAACCTAGTCCAGTCATTTTAAGAAATTACTTGGCTCAGTGAAGTGCAAATGTGCCTCCAGAGCATTAGCAAAGCAAAAAGGAGATCTTGGCACTGTGCATCTTATTGTGTATATTTTTCCCTTGAAAGACTTTGCTTTAATTTTTTTTTCTCTTACCCAAGTCATGAAAATTTGAGTGGCAAGACAGACCTGCATTGTGCTGCAAAGATCCTGCATTTTCCAGTGAGTCTGGAGTCGTAGCAATTTACCCATTTAGTGGAGACTTTTAAATGTAATGTGCTGGGCCGGGGGGGAGGGGAATCACTTAAGTGCTCAGGTTATTCATTTCTATTAAAATGTTTAATTCTAATATGCAAAAAAAAGGCATTAAACCAGTTGAACTGCATTTGGTTTAGGCTGAGATAAACACTGGCATGCCCTAATTAAGGGTGGATACAATGCTTTCCTCTTGAAGAGGCCAGTGAGGCAGCCTGTGTATGCCATAACTCTGTGTGCATTTTAACACCCCTACCCAAGGCAGTCACTGCAGAACTAAAAGTTCTGATGAAGGTTTTATTGCCTTGCTTAAAGCTATTTCACACCATCTGCAGGCTCCAAAGGGGAGTCTCCGTAGAGAAGTGTATTTGTGTAATTATGAGTGTTGTTATTACAACTGTAATGCCCTGTGTGATGTTGACAGTAGAGTGACAGGGTTGTTGTCAGTAAAACTCAGATGTGGTGCTTAGGTACTCATTAGCCGCACCTCTTCTGAAAGCATCCTCTATTCCCTTGCTGACACTGCAATTAGATGTTGTAAGAGTCTTGTCAAGCTGACATCTGACCACGGACAGGTGACTCAAAGTATCTTGGCTTACCTGTTGTCATTTGGGCAAGCCAAGGCAGTGAAAGGTAAAGTATCTGGTGGCTGCTTCTCCTGTTGTGTTTTCTGCTCATTTCTTAACCAGATGCTGTTGCAAGCAGGAGGTGGCAAAAAGTTGTGGCCAAAGTCAGAATGTCTGCTTTCTACAGGCTGTTGAGCCAGTGTGAGTTTGCCATGTATGCTTGAAGCTGAGCTGCTCTTTTCCTGTGCTCTCCTGTGTTCAAGATCCTCGAATGAAGAGAGAGCTGCTGAGTTTCTCTGGCATCTTCTCTTCCCCAGCAGGGTTTTTTTCCCTATCACATACGCCTCTGTTGCCTCAGCTTTGCACTGAATGAGGCCTTCTCCCTGGTCTCTCCCTGAGCACTGTGGCTGTAGTACTGCACAGGATTAGCATCCCACTGCTGAGACCAGACACTCCATGTGAAATTAATTTAGATGGTTCTGCTATTTAACAAGCTGATTATCAGCCCTTCTCCTTTGTCAAACTGAAAAACAAGAGCAAAAGGAGTTACCCCTTTCCTTGGCCTCTCTGGGATGAACCTCTTGGTACATCTGTGACCAAGCAACAGAATGAATAGTCCCAATCTGAAACTTGTTTGCACCTCTAAGCATATTACAGAAATTCCTGGGTATGTTGATACTGGCTAAATAGGAACCGATCCCAGTGACTTCTGTTAGCGAGTGCGATCTTGGGAAAGTGAGTGAAGTGTTTCAGCTGCGTTTGGGGAAGAGGGTAAGCAGTAGTCTACCTGGAACAACTCAATTTATGATTCTCCAGTGCCAAGGAGGGCAAACACCAATTCCTAGCATGTACTCCTAAGGCAACTGACCCACTGAATTTTCTTCAGTCTCCCATGGGAAAGAATCAGTCCGAATTAGAGGGATAAATGACTGAGTACATAGACCAGCAATGTGCAGCCTCTGCACTAGGATGAGGATGTTGGATGAGCTAAAGCAGCCCTGAGCAACGCTGGAGCAATAAGCAGCGAGCGAACCTGCTGCTTCAAGGTGCTGTTTCCTTCTACAGTTGAATGACAGAAAGATGTTTTATGCTTCAGTATTGGGATGCAGAGCCCTCTTAGCTCATACGCTTAAAACTAAAGCAAAGCATGCGGGGTGGTGGGGAGGGTGTTCTTCCTCTGGTCCCAGGGTGGATGGAGCCCTTTCCTCCAAGAGAAGAGCGGGGGCAAAGTGCTGTGTAAAGGTTAAGGACTGCAGAGATTAAAATGCTACAGCCCCAGGCCCTCTGCAGCATGGCCTCTGCCTCCTTTGAATACCAGGGGGATTTTTGATAAGCAGTAAACTACTTGACACTACAGTCCCACTGAAATATTTTAATTGGCAAAACCACTCACAACATGTATAACTGAAAAAATGCCAAGATTCCTAATGCAATTTAGACATAGCTATGGGGGAGGTGGCTTTGCTTGGAAGGACATTATGTACGAAAATGAGGGGAAGGGGATTGTATCAGATCATCCACAGCAGCCTGTCTGCCAGCACTGCATCTGGTTTTAATTGGCTGATCAGATCCTGTTTGAAGCCTTTCTCAGCTGTGCTTCCCTTGAAAACCCGATTCCTCATCCAGATGAGGCAGGACTGCTTGCAATTACAGGGTGGTTAGCACAAGAGCAGCAAAACTCAATGTAGCGCGTGCTCAGTGCTTTCACCAAGATGTTATGAGAAGCAGCCCTTACTCCACGGAATATGTAGGCAGCAGAGCCTTTTCTTTGTTCCTCCTGTCCACTGGAGGAGTCTTCATCTCCCCTTTTTTGGGAGTGAGGAGAAAAAGGAAGATTGTTAAATGCCCACCCCTTGTGCTGTGGAAGGAGGACAGCCTGAGGCATCGAGCAAGAGTTCAGTGTCCTCCTCTAATACTGATGCTTCTGGGTGGAACTGGTTTGAGGAGTGAGATCTGGCTTTGTAGCCAGGGAGTTAGGAATGGCATGAGTAGCCTGAGCCAGGTCCTGGAGAGACTGTACCTGGACTAGAGACCTAAGCCAGCATGCACACCAAATCTGCGTTGTGTTTATGTTAGTGTGGTCCTGACTCATCTCTGCCTGGTGCCTGCAGCTGAATTGGTATCTGCATATGTGATTTTCAGATCACCCATTAAGGA